TTACTGTAATGTTGCGCTGCTTTATTTGGTTAATCGTCCAGTCTATGAAGAAGGCATTCAAGTAAGAATTGTATTGTAGTATGACTCATTTCCTAATTTATATTAAGTAATTAAGAAGTATCGATATCGGTGTCGTATCGGCGATACTTTCCCTGTATTTACTTGGTATCGCATCGATAACAAATCTTCTAGTATCGCACACCACTAATTCACAGCTGTTGTCCTGTCTGCTTCTTTTGTTCTCTTATCTGCAGTGGCACCTGCTGGTCACTTATTGCATTACATTATTATTACCCAAGCCTTGATTTAATTGAAATATGACATGTTTGATGGGTAGCATGGTGACGTTGCACTTCGAGGACTGAGGTAGGGACCTAGACCCAGCTCTCTGTGTGTGGACCCTCATATTCAAGTGTCCCCCACAGTCCAAAGAAGTGCCCTGCAGGTGTCACTACTGAATGCAAACATAAGCAGTGACTGTTACTGTACCAGGAAAATTGGTATAAAGCAGATTAATATATTAAACTTACCACAGATGTTCATCGATGTTTAGATCTGGTGATTGGGGAGGCCATGGAGCGTGTTTGGCTTCATTCTGGTGCCCATCAAACCACTCTTGCATTTCATTGGCTGCACGTATGGGGGAACAGTGTCTGCATGGTAGGGTGCACCCACGGTCGGATTACGAAATCACAGGTCCGTGGGGCTCTAAGGACTACCGCTGCACAGTTACAGAGGATTTCATCCAAAAATGGATGCTGACGGTCTTCATATATGGGGGGTAGGGCTTGAGCCAATTGGACAGGCCATGGTGCCTCAAAAAACCACAGCTGGCCAAAACCAGTGTGGTATCTAATACAGCCCTTTGCTTTATTAAATAATTAGAACTGCCATAGCTATGACAATCGTAAAATTTAAATGCATTATATGAACATGCAGAGCATCTATCAATCTAATTACTCTCATATGACACCAGGGGTCCCGGCGGGATTTTCTCTCAGGCTATGCCCTCCCCCACCGCCTACTGTGACAGAACTGTGTTACACCACATGATGGGGAGAAGGAGTATATGCTTAGTTAAGAGTGTATGCTTTCTGTTCTGCAAAGTTGATGTGACGGTCCCATATTGATCATATTGCTAGTGGTGCACCAGTGTGGAATTTTGACTGATACTGATATGTTTTTGCGCAATCCGACACCAATAACTGAGCAGAGGTTGGGGGTTGCCGACAATGAAACTTATTGAGCTGGCCAGTGCAGATCAGCGGAATGAGTGACATTACATAATTTTTTATTCTGTGGAAAACAAAAGATTGATCTACAGGCCAGATTTAATATGAAGGAAGACAGGTGAAAGATGACTGAACTGGGCCATAAATAAATCCCAGAAGGAGCTCATTTTAATTTTTACATGTCTGAGTTAACATGTGGACTAGGGATGCAACAGTTCTCTGAAAAAAGCCGCACATAACACAGAGTCAGCACGGAGTCAGCACAGAGTCAGTACAGAGTCAGCACAGAGTCAATACGAAGTCAGCACGGAGTCAGCACATTCTGCAACTTTAATCTCCAACTCCAGGAAAAGGCAGCATGCACTCTCACATTTATGCAAAGGTTTGATACTTGTAAACCCTGTATTTTGATCTTTTTTGATGACATGCTATTGCACATCCATGCATTTGATTTTTACACAGTGTCTTAAGAAACGCTATTTTTCAGGGGGTTTGTTGGAATAAACCCTGAGAGAGGCACCAAGGTTGGACGGGGAAGTTTTATCAAAGAAAACTGTCACCAATTAAAAGGCAACAATACTCAATCCACATGTATCCACTCTGCTGAGGAGACTCATGGACTTTGAGTAGGACTTCATTTAAAATGGTGAACTTAGTAGATGTGCCTGTAATCACAAGGTCGCCGGTTCAAGCCCAGCCTCAGCACGTCTGCGGGTCCTTGAGCAAGACCCTCAACCCCCAGCTCCCTGGGCGCCGCTACGGGTGGCTGCCCTTCGCGGACAACTTGCTCCACAAAGAGCAAGTTGAGGGAGATGTAAAAAGAATTTCCCCACGGGGATTAATAAAGTGTTCATTATTATTATTATTATTATTATTATTATTATTATTATATATTTATCAAAACACCAGCATGCAGGGGTGCCCAACTCCAGTCCTGGAGGGCCGGAGTCCTGCACATTTTTGGGTTTCCCCTCATTTAACACACCTTGTGCTAATTACCACACAGCTCTTGAGCTGAATCATTTGTGGTGGAACAGAGAAAGAACTAAGCTACACAGGTTTGTCTGGCTGAGGGGTTAGTTCAGGTCTTGGGATATTTTTTCTTTGAATTCTTATGTTCACAGTCCACATTATGATAAGAGGAAAGGGGGGGCACACATGTTGATTTTGGATATGAGCTACATGTAAGTTGCAATGAAAGTTATTGTGGAACTCATCTCTCGCTCTCTCTCTCTCTCTCTCTCTCTCTCACACACACACACACGCACGCACGCGCAGACAGAGAGCTACCAAGACTGGACTGAGAGAATTGACTCTAGTG